TGAACAATCATGGATTTGCTATTTTTAGAAAATGATTTTTAAAGAATTTTCCTATATATATCTTTAAAAACTTTGGTCGGCCATTTTGGCCCCGCCCTACCCCTGGGTCATATGGAATTCATCATATATAAATATGATGAATTATGGCTTTGTCATTCTTGAGAAGAAGATTTTTAAAGAATTTTCCTATATATTTCTATGTAAAACTTTGGTCGGCCATTTTGGCCCCGCCCTACCCCTGGGGGTCATGATTTGAACAAACTTGAATCTACACTACCTGAGCATGCTCCCATATAAATATGATGAATTATGGCTTTGTCATTCTTGAGAAGAAGATTTTTAAAGAATTTTCCTATATATTTCTATGTAAAACTTTGGTCGGCCATTTTGGCCCCGCCCTACCCCCGGGGGTCATGATTTGTACAAACTTGAATCTACACTACCTGAGCATGCTTCCATATAAATATGATGAATTATGGCTTTGTCATTCTTGAGAAGAAGATTTTTAAAGAATTTTCCTATATATTTCTAGTATGTAAAACTTTGGTCGGCCATTTTGGCCTCGCCCTACCCCCGGGGGTCATGATTTGAACAAACTTGAATCTACACTACCTGAGCATGCTTCCATATAAATATGATGAATTATGGCTTTGTCATTCTTGAGAAGAAGATTTTTAAAGAATTTTCCTATATATTTCTATGTAAATCTTTGGTCGGCCATTTTGGCCCCGCCCTACCCCCGGGGGTCATGATTTGAACAAACTTGAATCTACACTACCTAAGGATGTTTCCCCATAAGTTTCATCTTTCATGGCACAGTGGTTCTTGAGAAGAAGATTTTTAAAATATGCCACCAAATTTTCATTAATTCCCAATTATCTCCCCTTGAATGAGGGCGTGACCCTTCATTTGAACAAAGCTGAATCCCCTTCACACAAGGATACTTTGTGGCAAGTTTGGTTGAAATTGGCCCAGCGGTTCTTGAGAAGAAGTCGAAAATGTGAAAAGTTTACAGACAGACGGACAGACGGACGCCGGACAAAATGTGATCAGAAAAGCTCACTTGAGCCTTCGGCTCAGGTGAGCTAAAAACATTTTCAGCCTGGTTTACTAGATCTATAGTGTTCAAGTTGAACAATAGTCTGGTGTAAGCTGACAAGGAAATATTTGGGTTTTCTAAGGGAATGTTTCAATACCAAATCACTATGTTATATAACAGTATAATGGAAGAACTTTTAAATGATATTGAAAACATTTTTGAACACTGTACACAAGTTTTGCTAATAAACCTCACAATGTACCACATATACACCTCAACATGTGATAAATGCAGTATGTAAATATTTCATTTAACAGTACTCAGTAACATATTGTCTAGATCAACAACCCTTATGATGATATTTACCATTCACTTTGACAGATGACATTTTTTTCAAGATGAATCAGACACAGCCAGATTCAATAATGTAATCACAAAACTACTGTAACAGTGTATATGCATTATCAAATGAAGTACAGGGTTGTGGCCAGACATTAAGAAAATTTTAAGAAAACTTCCTAGTTGCATAAGATCTATTTTTAGATCACACATGGCCTTTCACTGAATTTCAAGAATCCTCCTCCACCACTGTATATTCACAGACTGCTGATATTTGATCCCCTGATTGGCTGATTTCCTCCTCGTACATTACAACCCTCATGGACGACCTCTTGTACTCATCGGGAACCTTGAACATTTTACCATGTCCAGGAACTATGTAATCCGCCCTTCCCAGCACGTCTATCCTGCCCTCTTGTTGGAGTTCTGGATTTTCACTATTGTCCTGCCATAAACTGGGTTCTTCCAAGTCCTCCAGGCATTCAAATAAATCACCTACAATTAATACATTGATCAATCTAATTAAAATTAGATGTCAGATCCACTCGCATACTCGCTACACTAACAGCTAACAACATCCAATAGAGGGTCATGATAGAGGGAAATTCTATCAACTAATCAAATCATCGCCTGCAAAACCATCATTGTATATTTGCTGAAACAAATAAGTCCAGAGTTGTTCCGAATTTGATCTCTGACGTGACCCTCTATGGGATGTTGTTAGATGTTAGTGTAGTGAGTATGCAAGCGAATCTAACATTTAATTTTAATTAGATTGTCAATAAATATGTTAATAATTTTTTGTAACAGTTCAACAGTAATTCGATTATTGTCTTATTGAGGGACAAACTTAAGTTTTATTATTCCTCAAAGATAACTGACAATCTATAAGAAAAACAATTCTAAACCTTATTTAAGAGACAGAGAGACAAGGGTCATCAGTATATTATATATTATAACACACTTCCATTTAATAAATACATAAATATGTAATAATATGTAAACATTATGCAAATCTTTCACCTTTTTGGGATCATTAATGTATATGAACTTTCCAAAGTCTGTAGACTAGACTGTGAATGGATAGGTGTAATGATGGTTCAATTACCTGTCACTGCCACGGTCCCCAGACCTGTGTTACTGACAATGACTGAGATGTCGGACCCCGTGTGTCCAGGGGTGGGGACTACTTCAACATCATCATCTATCTCATAAGGAATTCCCTAAAACCACAACAAAAAAAAAATCGTTAACTTCAATATATCTCTTATCATATAAAGCACCATAATCAACCCCCTTTTTATCAATTCATTAGAATGATTATATAAGTAATGGGCAGAAACTTGCATCAAATTTTAATCTTTCCAATAATTGAGCACTTGAAGTATACCAAAGATTAACTGATTTTTCATTATACATGTAGTTGAAAAATGGAAAACACTTCTACCTTTAACACAATTTGTATTAAATCATGACCCTCTGGGGCCATGAAATGAACAAACTTGATTCTAGTCACTGTCAAGAAGCTTTGATGTAAATAGTTCGTTTCTGGCCTTGTGGTTTTTGATCGAGATTTTAAATTTCAATATTTCTTAATTATCTTCCCTTGGAAGAGGATGCATCACTTCATTAGAATATTAGAATAAATCTGAATGCCATCATTGAAGGAAACTCTTTGCCATGTTTTGATGAAATCCACCCAATGGTTTTGGAGGAGAGAGAAAAAATTGTAAAATCTTTACCCAAAAAATTGAACATTAAATCTTGATCAGAAATTGGTTCAGGTGAAAAAAGGTGAAATAAAACAAGAAGTCCATGGGCCACATCACGCAAATGAGCACAGTAGTTAGGAAAAGCAGAGATTAGATTGGTATTGTAAAGTTACAATGGGTTGAATTGACTCTACCTCACTCACTAGGACCCCTCCATATCAATCTTGATTTGAAACTAGTGTTAACTGTAACGGTGACCGTTACAGTCACTTACAGATGTTCCCCAAACGCTCCCAATGTCCCTTTTAGTGCCCTATTCCTGTAAGATTTTTTAAATGCTCAGTATCAAAAGGTTTTATTGTGGAATATAAAAGTTACAATCATATTAACTATATTTCATTTAATTTTTACATGCGAGCGCATGTGCATGCATATGCAAGATAATAATGGCATGTTGATTAAGCGATTAACATATCTTTCTATTTTGAGATTCAAAGAAAACAAGAGGTCCATGGGCCACATCGCTCACCCGAGCATTGTGGCTAGGAAAAAGTAGAAATTGGTTTACTATTGAAAAGTTTAAATCCAAAAGTTTGGCCCCGCCCTATCCCCGGAGGTCATGATTTGAACAAACTTGAATATACACTACCTGAGGATTTATCCATATAAATATATGAGCAATTATGGCTTTGCTATTCTTGAAAAGAAGATTTTTTTAAAGAATTTTCCTATATATTTCTATATTAAACTTTGGTCGGCCATTGTGGCCCCGCCCTACCCCCGGGGTCACGATTTGAACAAATTTGAATCTACACTACCTGGGGATGCTTCCATATAAATATGAGCAATTATGGCTTTTCTGTTCTTGAGAAGAAGATTTTTAAAAAATTTTCCTATATATTTCTATGTAAAATTTTGGTCGGCCATTGTGGCCCCGCCCTACCCTCGGGGGTCATGATTTGAACAAACTTGAAACTACACTACCTTGGGATGCTTCCATATAAATATGAGAATTATGGCTTTGCTGTTCTTGAGAAGAAGATTTTTAAAGAATTTTCCTATATATTTCTATATAAAACTTTGATCGGCCATAGTGGCCCCGCCCTACCCCCGGGGGACATGATTTGAACAAATTTAAATCTACACTACCTGAGGATGTTTCCCCATAAGTTTCATCTTTCCTGGCACAGTGGTTCTTGAGAAGAAGATTTTTAAAACATACCACCAAATTTTCACTAATTCTCAATTGTCTCCCCTTGAATGAAGGCGTTGCCCTTTATTTGAACAAACTTGAATCCCCTTCACCCAAGGATGCTTTGTGGCAAGTTTGGTTGAAATTGGCCCAGCGGTTCTTGAGAAGAAGTCGAAAATGTGAAAAGTTTACAGACAGACGGACAGACAGACGGACAACTAGACAGACGGACGCCGGACAAAATGTGATCAGAAAAGCTCACTTGAGCCTTCGGCTCAGGTGAGCTAAAAATACAGATATAAAGTTACCATTTTTCAAGTATATACTAAGTCATTTTAATACCTATTCACATTTTTTTTCTCTACTGATTTTAACCTCGGGCTCGGAGTTGGGTTTTTTTCCCAAGACAAGGTAGGGTTAAAGTCGACTAAGGGTATATGCCGATAATTGACAAATCAATATGAACTTATTCAATTGTAGTTCCATTCATACAAAACTATTTTCCTTTCTTTTGAGAATTTTTTTAAATATTTCCTCTCAGGCCATTTTGACAACTCTGGTACCTGTGTCTAGTAAATTTTATGTTTTTTGTAAATAAATACATACAATAAATACGGAGAAGGAACATATATTGCTTTTCAATAAATGGAAAATCGCTTTTTTATTACGCAATTCAAAAAAATTTCTAATAAATTTCAAAAGTAAAATAAAAGAAGAATTTCTGGCATTAAGATATTATAACAAATCAGTAGAATTTAACGATATTAACGACATCTGAAGGAAAAGGCTATAAAAGGTTTATTTCACATCTTTGTTCATCTGCACCAATGACATACCAATGACATTGACCTAAGTTTCAAGGTCAAGGGTCAAAAGACATACTTTAGTATGTTACATGTCTTGACATTTAGTTCTTAATTCTGCATGAATATAAAAAAAAACTCAAGTTCTTGAGAAGCTAGAATTCTTAAACAGTGAAAATGTGAAAAGTTATCAGGAGGGAAGGATCGAGGAACTAAAGACAAAATGTGATTAGAAAAGCTCACTAGAGCTTAAAATGCGTCATAACATACATCAGGCCCCAGGATCATGAAACATCTTAAGCTTAAGTCAAAATATTCATGTTGTACTAGAGTTTTGATTAAGTCAAGTAGACAAAAATTAAAATATGTTTTAATATTGCTTTGCAAAAGTGTTGTTATCTGCGAAATTAGAAATTATTTCAATAATAAATAAACATTTAACAGGCGATAAAAAATTTGACTTAAGTCAAAGTCTGTTTCATGATCTTGGGACCTGGCAATTAAAAAAAATTCTTAAATCACAATCAAGACATTACTGTTTTAAAATCATGCATTTGGTACTGGTCTCCCACACACACATCATAGGAGAGAATGTGTACAGCATTGGAAAAGATGCTCAGATTCCCAACATGATCAGAATGGCCGTGGGTACACACACAGTAGTTTATTTTTTCTGGGGAGAGTCCATTCTTCTGTAGACCTACAAGATAGTAATTTTATTTTTTAAATCCACTCTCAATTGAATATTTCTATACTGTAAATGTATTTTTATAAATGAATGCCCTTTGATACAAATGCCTATCACTTCCCCAGTATCCATTCAGGCCTGTGGCAGGACTTTTCTAAATTCATAATGTTTTTTTACCCTCTTACCTTGAAGTTTAACATACTTTTCAAAAACATTACTTCAAAGATTGGCCATAACTTTTGAAAGAGAAAAGATAGGGCTTTCATATTACACAAGTGAATTACCTGTGACAAGACCTTTAGACAAAATATATCATGGTTTTTACCCAATAACCTTGACCTTGAAATTTGACCTACTTTTTAGAAACTTTATACTTGGTCATAACTTTTGATTGAGAAGAGATATAGGGCTGCCATATTTCACATGTGTATTACCTGTGACCTTTTTTTAATATCTATGATTTTTTTTTTTTTTGCTGTGTGACCTTGATCTTGAAGTTTGACCTATTTTTACAAATGTTTTCTTTCTTTATATCTTTTTACAGAGATGAGATTGTCCTTAACAGGATGTTTCTGTGCATGCTATTATTTTTACCCCTTGACTTCATGTTTCAGTCTTTACGACAACTCACTGGTCCGAAGACCGAGGCCAGTGAATTTTGATGTCGGGTCAGTGAAAATCAAAATTCAAGAAGTCCGATGGGCTTGTTGATTATAAAAATCATACAGAGTCAAAATATTTTTTAACTGTCTTACTTGCGTAAATTTCATTAATATATAAAATAAAAAGACTAAGCACATGTTGTTGAATCGTATTATTATAACCCTATTAGAACATGGATGTTTTACGTAACAACCGGAACTAACTAGTAACTATTAACTAGTACATAAAATGTGCGAAGTTCCAATGAACAACTTACCGAAACGCGACAAATGACAAAAAATGGCGGCATTTCAAAAGTTGAAGTACGTAAACATGTATAGATTTACAGTTATGAAAATGTATTTATTTTATTTTTTTTAATTAAGGGGCCAGTAAAAATTCTGGTGGGCCAGTAAATTTTGAAAGTTCACTGGTCCGACTGGCCAGTTAGTTTGAAATTTAGTTTTCGTGAAGACTGATGTTTGACCTAGTTTTTCAAATTTTTTAACTTTGGTGAGACATATGATAAGGCATACATATAACTTATAAGATTCAGTATATCATAAATAATGGCATCCCATCCACTAAGACACTGAAAGCGGGGGACCACATGAAATAATTGCTTGTTTCAGCTGCACATGAAACCATGCATTATGTTTTTCAGACATACCATCCAGAATGTGGTCTCTGTCCCAAGGATTACCAGTATCCACAATAATATTCTTAGGGCCCTTGATCAAGCTAATACTCCCACATGCTCTTTGCTGGCCTAAAAGAGAAAAAGTCACTTAATGGTCCATACTAGTTTCCATACTTTTTAACATTTGCTCTATCTGCAGCTGCTCAGTGCAAAGAATTAAAAATAAAAAAAAATCACAAATCCATTTTTCTAGGATTAATTAAATTATATTATATTAGTTCAGTATGAGAAGACTCACGTAAAAAGACAAACGAATACAAATCTTGAAATAAATAAAGCGACCTATGCAAACACGAACCTTGCACATGCAAACTGCAGCTGCATGGTGTTGATGCTAGACAAGTTTATTAAAGTGCGACATACCTTGGCCCTCCGCTTTGCTGTAGCCTTCCTTCAAAACAACGACTTCGTATGACATGGTGTCTTTTCCGGAAAAATCTGCTGAGGAACAATCATACGCTGAGCAAATTGTTTTATAAAATTTGTAAACATGGCGGGATTGACTAATCGCCGCTGCAGAAAAGAAAACATTGAACCCGGAAATGTCGCGTCCTTTTAAAATTGAACAGTTTAATTACAATTTGTTTAATAATCAGACATTTTGAAATTTAAGCTGATCTTTGATCACAATATAAAAATCTTACCGTCACTCACAAACTCGGGCAATACCCTCAGATTTTACCTGACGTTTCTATATTATCGGATTAGACGATCTGGAAACTTCTCGAAAATAAAAGAAGTGTTCTGTGTTAAACTCAGTAATTTAGAATAGCAGCGCAGAAAAAAGTCCTTTTTGAAGAATATTGTGAAAAAAATAAGAATTTTGGAAAAGGGAAATAAAAATTAACAGAAATTTCGAAGATCGGCACACGGAAAACAGAATATGAACAGTAAAACCCGCATAATCCGATACCCATGCAGTCTGTTCTGCTGTGAATTCCGACTTTCATTTTTTGTCCCTCGTTTTCGCCAAAGCGAGGGGACAATAAATCTCATTCGCCTGTCTGTTTTCACTTTGTAAGTCTGTCCGTCTGTCATTTTAACCTTGGTAATGACCGAGAAGGTATATATTAACCCCCCCCCCCCCACCCCAATATGCTTCAGGACGAGCACGGAGCAAGCGTTTTATTTTGAAATTTCGAAATTTTTATTTCACATAAAAATAAAATGTAATATTAAAGTTGAACATGCATGTGTACTTTTTGTATTATTTCCCATATTGGTACAATTAATTAAAAACAACCCTACATTTCATCATATCTAGTTTGTGTTGTACGAATATGTATGTATACTATAAACTTTAACATTCTTTGTGCCGCGGGCCTATTTTGGGCCTATTTTCAAATACTACGTTAACGAGGCCCGATCTAGTTGGAAATTACGAAAACGGAATGATAAAAAATTTTGATTCTTGGAAATATACTTGCATGTTTTATGTTTAGAAAAATTAGAATGAAATTTTGTTACCTTGCCTTTATTGTAGTGAAATGGGGACACTGTCAAGATATGGACCATTTTTCGTGTTTTTATACACAATTACATACTAAAACTCTTCAATAAACAAAGAAATTTACAAATTAAAAAAAATACATGATGAAATTCTTTGTTTTTCACATATATCATGCAATTTTTATTCTTCTTATAAAAAATGAAAAGAAAATTGGAGGTATCCTTAATTGCAGTGAAAAGGGGGCATGTCAAAACACAAAATTTGGATTTATTCTATCCAACTACGTATTTTATATGTCGCAATGGGTTTACATAACACCAATAAACGATTGCAATACTGTATTAGTTTCTAAAAAATAAATAAATCTTACATTATGAAGTAATTTTCTCGCCATGCTTTATTTTTCTCTTAACACGCGACGTTGTTTTACGTGGAAAAAAGGGGTAGAGGAGGAGGGGGGGGGGGGGGTTAAATGCGATAAAATTGCGATTTTTACTAATATCATGTAATATATAGAAAAATAAAATATTTCGGGGGTTCAATTTAAATGATGTATATACCTATTCTATTTTTTTTTTCAAAACTGAAGATAATCCATGCATATTTAAGTCCGCAATAAAAAGAGTGTGTATAAACACTTCAACATATTCGAAGAGAATGACTAAAATCGTTTACTTTTAGTTGCAGTGTTTGTTTTTTTAAACTCACAAATTGAAATAAAACAGGATAAAATTAATGAATCTGTACCAAAAAAATTGATCCCTCAAGTTAATAAGGTTCCAAAGTTGTTTATTAATTTAAAATTAATAATTTTAAATATTTAAAAAAAAAATAATAGAAATTCCAGCTTTCAATGCATAGTCTATAGCGCTACCAGGTAACCAAGATCAGCGAAACATTTTAGCGCAATTTGATGTCATTTTAATTGTGACGTTATTGTGTTCAATTGTGACGGCAGTCAAGGGTATTATGACGTGTCTGAGTCGACGCTGCGTTAAAACGTATGCGCAGATCAAGTAGAACGGGCCTCGTTAAGTGCCGCAGGCCTATTTTGGGCCTACCGTTAGCTCATTTACGTCACAAGTAAAACTGATTATGACGTTACGTAATCATTCCGAGTTTCGCGCCATTTTGGCCTCTAGGAAACAAATATTTTACCTTTCATCTACTGAAAAAAAAATATGTAGGAAGGAATGTTAAACAGGTTTTTTTTGTCTTGGTCATTAGAAAAGGAAAATAGTACATTCTGATTTGAAATTAACAATTTTGTCAGTATTTTCGATCCTCGTTTAAACGGCAATACAAGCAATCAAAATTCCATTGGGAAAAAAAAATTCAGCGTATCTTAAAAACGGGAATAATTTACCATTACTCATATCAAATACTTAATGTTTTGGTCGTGAAAATACAAGTATCGCTATATCATTTGTAATTTCTGATTTTTTAAAATCATTAATCGGCATGCTATGTTAAAAAGTTTAACATTGTTACATTAAATCCTTGAAGCGCTTTTTAACGGACTATAAAAAAGTTTCATCCTCAGGAGCATAACAAAGTAAAAGGGTTTATTTCATACATGTCCAGGCACGTAGCATCGTTTTTGAAAGTGGGGGGGGGGCAACCAGAGGAAATATTTTTTTTTACTTACAATAAAATGTTCCTGTAAAAGTTGACACGCAAAAGGGGGGGGGGGCGTGGATTTGCCCATACTCGAAAACCCTATTTCGTAGGGGGGTGTATAGTGGCCAATATTTTATCAAGGCCAGGGGGGCGGCCCCCCTGTTACTACGTGCCTGATGTGACATAATTAAAAAAAGTCCATGAGACAAGGAACTTTACAGAGAAACCCTCAAATTTGGAATGCATGTTGTTATGCAGCGCATGACATTAGTCTCGTTCAACCAGACGCTCGGCTGTCTCCGTAAATCTCCGACAAGCAGAGAGCTCCAAGTCGAAGAAATTGTAACTGTTTTCTGTTGATTAAACGCTTGTTCACGACTGACAACCGCATCAATATTTAGGAAAATCATCACTGTAGGGAAGAGAACTGTGGCAACGAAATAAATTTATGCCTTAGAGTCCAGAAATAGGTGTTGAAGTGGGAGGGGGTATTTTTTCCAAAATGTCAGCTTGCGTCCCTTTGAGAGTTTATGTATATACAGGTGTAGTACTTTTTTAAAAACATTATTTTTTTTTTTGCCTGATCATGTCAGAATCTTTATTAAAGCAACTTTTAGAATGTACTTAATGTCTATACAAATTTTTTAAGAAAATATTTTACATTTATCAATCCGGAAGACAAGCCCCTATGCAAGAAACGACTATGGCATAGAACCTCTGCATTATGCATGCATGTTTATAATTATGTTCAAATTGGATTCTTTCCATTCTGTTTGTTCAAAAGACCAAAAGAGATTAAATTTCTTTCAGGCACGAATCATCAATTATAATTGCCGGCAGGGCAGGGGGGATAACCGGGGTAAGAATTTTTTCGCTCGCTTCTCCTGTTAGATCATATCTCACTTTTAAATTAATGAAAGAATTCAGGCAGGTATTTACAATCAAAGGGCAGGCGAGATATTATGTCGGTCGAAGTTGGGACAAGTACCCTAATTACCACCCCCGGGAAAATACCTCTAAGATCTTGATTTTCTCGAGATCTACTGGTAGTAATATACCGGTATTATTTATTTTCTAACAGCTATGCGAGCGATTTTTTTTTTTTTGTTGATGTATTTTCAAACAACGGTAATGAATAGCTTAATGTGTCCTTTTACCAAATAAAGTTTTGAATGAATGATTGGTGTCCCTAGCCCTGACCCCCGGTCATTATTCTGTGGAAGTCAGAATCCGTTTTTACACCGTATTCACATCAGTGCAGCCATTATATTTACTTATAAGTTAATAAATTTTGCAAATAAACCCCGAAACGGGTGCATTAGGGGTCTTACTTTCTCCTCGAACAATACGCTTTAATTATACAAGATGATGTCCGTAAACTATATTAGATTTCACTCGGATAGTGAGTATCGTACGATTAAGCTCTGTACTGACAAATTTTAATGAAACTGACAACAAGCAATCGTTTATTTATTTCAAAAAATGTCATCACTGAATTAATCAATCAAAACTTGATTTAAATGATATAAGAGAAATCAGTTGTAATAACCGATTAAAAAGCGAATGTTCAAATTATTTTAGTCATTCGAATTCACCGATCTCAATATTGACGGAAGCTTCTAGCACATCAAATAGCATCGTAAATAATGGTAGGGATATTTTTACATGTAAAAAGATCAGCTGATAAAGGAGCACAATTATTGCCGATTGGAATTCCAACAGTTTGTTGGAAAAATTGCTCTCCGAGGACTACAATATATGTTGTCAATTAGGCACTGCGGAATTCTTTAAATATCAAAAATTTCAATCGATAACTCGTATGCAGTGGCGGATTTAAAGGGGGGGGCGCACCCTAAAATTTGTCAAAATTAACGTAAATCACAGTTTCGTCTATAAAATGTAAATATGTATACTTGGTAGACCTCATTTTTGCCCTACAAAATCTGTAGAATCCAGGAGCTTCCGGGAGCTTCGCCCCCTGGACCTCCACCAGGGCTTTGCCCTGGACCCACTGGGGGCCTCAAGGCGGTCCCCAGACCCCTTGCCTACTTTTGGCGCCCCCTCTAACTTCAATTCCTGGATCCGCGCCTGGTATGTACAATGAGAATGATTTTTGACGAAGTAATTTTGCTCATGTCCAATATACAAGATGTAAAAACTGAACTAAGGTATTGAAGAAGTTATGCTATGAAATCAAGCATTCTAGGTTTTAATTTATCGCAAGAATTTTTTTTTTGAAGTGTAGAAAAGTCGTAATTAAGCTTAGATGTTATAGCTATAGACTTTAAAAGAGTTGATTTAAAGTTTCTATGTAAAAATTCTTCAGAGATTTTGAGGGCGTAGCGTGCCTCAAATATATGTGTAGGCACTAGAAAATAAAGCCGAAGACTTCACTGAGGCGCGAAGCGCCGAAAGGGGGTAGGTGTGGGAGGGGGTGGTTGGGGGACCTCCCCCGAGAAAATTTTGAAAAATAGACGCAAAAATTAGCACTTTTGAACAGGCGCGTAGCATCGTTTTTGAAAGTGGGGGGCCATCCAGAATTTTTTTTTTTTATACTTACCTGAAAAAGTTGACAAGCAAAAAAAAAAAAGTTGCCCAAGTCGAAAATCCTATTTCGTGGGAGGGGGGGGGGGAGAGGGGGGGGATGTTAGGTATACTTTTTCTCAGTGTCAACTACTTTCAGTACCAATTCTAATACT